CTTCTAATATTTTTGTTTAGGACTTCTGCATCTAAATTTATGTTTGGTCTGTAATGTTTTCTAATGTCTTTGTTAGATTTTGCTGTTAGGGTTATGCTAATATCATAAAATGAATTAAGCAGTGATTCCTCTTTATGCAAAAAAATATTAATGTAGGATTTGTGTTATTTCATTCTTAAATGGTGAAGAGACTTCAGTAGCCATCTAAGCCTGGAATCTTTGGGGGAAGGTTTTAAAAAACAGATTTATTTAGGGGCACCTGGTTGGCTCAGTCAGGTAAGCATCTACCTTTGGCTCAGGTCATGATCCTGGGGTCCTGGGATTGAGCCTCTCTGTCAGAGTCCGTGCTTAGCAGGGAGCCCACCTCTCCCTCTGGCCATCCCCCTGCCTGTGCGTGCTCTCTCTCAAATAAATAAAATCTTTTTAAAAATAGATTTAATAGATACAGGGCTGTTCAGATATCAGCACCTCTTGTTTCAATCTTGATTCTTTTTTTAAAAAATTTTTATTTTTTTATTTATTTATGATAGTCACAGAGAGAGAGAGAGAGAGAGAGACAGGCAGGCAGAGGGAGAAGCAGGCTCCAAGCACCGGGAGCCCGACGTGGGATTCGATCCCAGGTCTCCAGGATCGTGCCCTGGGCCAAAGGCAGGCGCCAAACCGCTGCGCCACCCAGGGATCCCCAATCTTGATTCTTTGTACCTTTTAAGAAATGTATCCATGTTGTCTAAATTGTCAACTATGTTGGCATAAAGTAGTGTATAATATTCTCTAATCCTTTTTAGTATCCATAGACTCTCTGGTAATAACTCCTTTTTCATTTATAGTGGTGATTTTTGTTCTTTTTTTTACTAATCACTGTAATTAGATTTTAAAATTTTGTTGTTTTTATTGTCTTTTTTCTATTTTGTTAATTTGAATTTATTATTCTCTTCTCCTTGGCTTGAGTTTACTTTGATCTTTTCTTTCTAGCAGTTTTTAAGATGAACTTTCAGTCACTGCTTTTAGATCTTCTTTTCTAACAGAAGTATGTAAAGGTGTAAGTTTCCTGTTATGTGCTATGTTCTCTCTATCCCATAACTTTGATAGGGTATATATTCCTTGCCCTATACTTCACAGTATTTGCTCACTTTTATTCTTTCATTTTTGAATCATAACTATTTGAAAGTGTTACTTAATTTTAAGATATTTGAGGTTTTTCTAGGTATCTTATTAGTGATTTTTCATTATTTTATGGTAGGAGAATTTACTCTTATGATTTGGGTTCTTTTAAATTTGGGGGGACTTTTTATGGGCCAGCCTATATCTACCTTTTGACAAATGTATAATGTACACTTAAAAGGAACGTTTATCCTGCAGTTATTGGATGTAGTGTTACACCTGTTTAATTAGACCCCTGAGGCTGGTGGTGGCGTGTAGCCTGTGTCTCACTGGTATTTTGTCTAGTTCTATCAGTTGTTAAGAGGCAGTAAAAGCTATTCTGATTGTGAGCTTGTCCATTTCTTCATTTAACACAGCCAATTTTTGCTTCATATATTTTAAAGTTTTGTTTTTCTGTGTGTGTACAGATTTGTAATTGTTTTAAATTTCTTTTATCATTATGAAACAGTTTTCTTTATCTCTGGTCATACTCCTTTTCTTGAAGTCTCTTTTATTCGATTCAAAGTAGCCACCATATGCTTACTGTTTACATGGTACATACACCATCTTCCATCTGTTCGCTTTCAACTTATTCGTGTAAATTTAATGTGTCTTTCTTATAGACAGTATGTACTAACTAGGGTCTTGCTTCTTCATCCATTCTCTTTGCCTTTTAATCTGGAGTATATAAACCAATTAACACTAAATTATTTAAATGATTACATTTAAACTGTTTTTCTGTTTATCTTTTTTTTTTTTTGCTTTCTGTTTTCTACTGTTTTTTAAAATTATTATTTGAATGTTTTTCAGTGTTCCATTTCAATTTACCTATTGGCCCTCTGCTTATATGTCTTTCCATTACTTGTTACTGGTTGTTCTAGGGATTACAACATGCTTAATGCCTAACTGTTCACAGTCTACTTAGAGTTGACTTCATGCCATTTCGCATAAAATATAGAAACCTTGCAATCATATTAATCCCTTTTCCCCAAGTCCTTTTTGTGGTAGTTGACAAATGTATTATGTTTGCATACATAACATACACATTGAAAACTCTACCAAATAACAATATAACTTTTAAATCAGTTACCTATACACACACACACAAATATATATATATATGTGTGTATATATATATGAAATATAAGAGGAAAAAATAGACTTCTGTTTCTATTCAACTATTCTTTCTATTGTTCCTTAATTCCTTGAAGATACAGATATCCTTAACATTTCCTTTTAGCCTAAAAACTTCCTTGAATATTATTTTAGAACAGATCTGTTGATGAGTTCTTTTAGTCTCTCTTCTTCTGAGAAGGTGTTTGTTTTGCCTTTTTCTCCTGAAGAGTATTTTGGGTGAAGTTCTTTTCTTTCAGCACTTCAGATATTATTTCATTGAATTCTTGTTTTTAGGATTTATAATAAATCTGTAGTCACTGAAATCATTACTCGTCATGTGTACTGTATTGGTTGTTACTAGATGCTTTCAAGATTTTTTTCTTTATCTTTGGTTCTTAATACTTCAGTTTTGAGTGTCTAGGCATGATTTTTCTATGAATTTATCCTATTTGAGATTTGTTGGGCTTCTGAAATTTGTAAAATGTATGCCTTTCACCAAATTTTAGCAGTTTGGGGCCATTCTTTCTTCAGATACTTTTTTTTTTTTTTTTGCGCTTCAATATCTTTTTCATCTCTGGCGTCCAAATTACACGTATATTACACAGGTCCCTAGGGCTTCATTTATACCTTTTCAATCTTTTTTGTGCTCAGGTTTTATAATTTCTATTGATCTGCCTTCAAGTTCATTGGCTCTTTTCTCTGTCCTCTCCATTCTGCTACTGAGCCTAACTAGCAACTTGTTTTTTATTAAGTATTGTATATTTCTGTTCTAAACTTTCCATTTGGTTCTTCTTTATAGTTTCCATTTCTCGGAGAATTCATATTTTCATTCATTTCAGGCATGTTTTTCTTTACCTTATAAAACACAGTTATAAGTAGTTGCCTTAAATCCTTTGTCTGGTAGTTCTAACCTCTGGGTCATTCTAAGTTGCCATCTTCCATTTTCCCCTTAAGAATTGGTCATAATTTCTTGGTTCTTTTATATTAAATAATTTTAAATTGCATTCTGGATACACCAGTATTGTATCAACTCTAGGTCCTGCTTAACAAACAAAAACCCTGCAGAGTTGCAATGCCAATATAGCAAGTGAAAAACTGGCTATAGCCCGTCCTTACTGCTGATTACAACTAAAAACTCTGGGTGCAGGTTAGCTATCTGAGCACTTTGAAAATGAGTAAAGCAGGAAGATTGTGGAGGGGAGTCAACATTCTGGAAGAATGTTTTCCTTTTAGCAAGTTATCACCATTTTATGTTTTCACTCTAAGTTCTGTCTCATTTTCTGTGAGTTGTGGGTTTGTGTTTTTTAGATTTTATTTATTCATGAAAGACAAACAGAGGCAGAGACATAGGCAGAGGGAGAAGCAGGCTCCCTGTGGGGAGCCCTATGTAGGACTCGATCCCGAGGCCCCTGGATCACACCCTGATCTTGAAGACAGACACTCAACCACTGAGCCACCTAGGTGTCCCTGTGAGTTGTGGTTTAAATCTCAGTTCAAATCCCTAAGTTTTTGCTATGCTGGTTTGGGTCTCCCCTGTCACATGTAGTTCAAAGGTGAGTCTGATACTTGGGTGCATAGTTCAAATCTCAGCTCAATTTCCTAAGCCTTTTCTACATTGGTTTAGGAGTGTTCTGTGCTGCTGTTATTCACAGGGTGGCTGAAACCTATATATTCTAATCACAGTTCACGTCTGAAAACATTGGCAGTGTTAGCCTGGTCTTAGCTCCATGTTTATAGCCCAGGGGTTATCCTTCAAATGATATTGGTTCCTACACAGCATTAGAATATCTTTGCCAGTCTTTCTGGATTACCTCCACACTCTTCAATTTGTAAGGGCTTTTTTCTTTTTTCTTGGTTCTTTTCACCCAAAAAGGCTCCTACTGGAATTAAGTCACACATAACACCATGACACTCTGTAAATGTTCCCGCCCTCTGGGCAAAGCTAAGAAAAAAATAAAAGGTAAAACTCTACCCCATGCAGGTTGATTCCTCTCCACAGTCTACCTCCTTTATTTTCAAAGTGCTGAAATAGTTGTCTGGGCACAGAGTTTTTAACTGTAATTCACAGGAAGAATGTGCTATGGTCAGTTTTTCACTTGCAATATCAGCAATGCAACTCCTTAGGTTTAGTTATGTTTTTATAGTCAATCCTGTATTTTCTGCTCCATTATAATTTAGTAGCAAATGGGCAACATTACTGAACGTTTGGAAGTTTAGTAGTATTCTAAGAAGGTGTTTATAATTTTCCAAAGGAGGAATGAATAGCACGTCGAGGTCTTTGACTTTATTCAGTTAGTAAAACATTGATGGCATACTCACTATGTGCTGTGTGTGGAAGACAGTAAAATAATTTCAGGGTTTACCTTACAACCTAGTAGGCATTAGACTTGCTTCAATGAATAATGATCAGTAAATATGATAATCATTCATCTGCAAAGAAAAGAGTTTTTTTCTCAAGGGCTAAAATACCATTTTTATTTAATTAACATATTAAAGCACCTTCGAAATAAAAAATAGCACAGACAATGCAATTTAATTTTGAATCCACATTCAAATCAATATTGTATTCATATTGGTAAGAAATCTGAATTATTGAATTTTTATTTTATTAGCTAATTTGCTTTTTAATAAGTGTTTACATTTGGTTTATGAAAAATACTTTAATACATGATGATTTCTTTTTTAGTATCTTCTTTAGGGTAGCTAATGTAGACTTTTGTAAACTCTTTTTAATTAAATCGCAGACACGACCAGAGCAAAAAGAAGCCAGGAAAGCGATGGTGTGGAATATATTTTCATTTCCAAACACTTGTTCGAGACAGATGTACAAAATAACAAGTATGTGGAAGGTTTTTATGTGACTATTGTTTTTAAGCCTGTGCCTCTCTATCCAGTTTTAGGGAACCCAGGGTTCCCTCCCATTTGAAATAGATTTTAAGTTTTTTAATATTTGTAACTGATAAAAAGGTGATAATTCAGTTAGTAGGTGTTACCAGTCTTCCCCTGTAATTTTTTTAATAACCTAGAGCTGCTATGTTTCTGGTAAGTTAAATAAATGTGTAGGAATTATTTTGAAGAATGAGGGAATGTTGCAGGCATATTATTGTGACCTCTTTCCACCCCACTAATTGAATCTTAACATAGAATTTGAATAGAATTTTATTTTAAAAACTAACAACTATGTAATAGATCCCTAGTTCCACAGTCTCTTCCACACACCCCTTTCTCCCTCACTGGCTCTTCAAAAATTTAAAATAACATTAATCACCTTGTTTGTACCATATCCTCTGGCCGGCTCTAATTCTCCACCTCATAGGTCTTCCGTTTGCTTAAGCATGAATATTTCAGGGTGTCAGGGAGCAATGTGTGTTTTAATGCAGGATTTGGGGATTTTATTGAAACATCAAAATGCTTTTTTCCACGTTCGGCACAGCAATTGTGTTTTTATAGCACGTAACCGGCTGCCCTGCTTCCATTAGCCACCAGCCAGTTCCTCCTGTAGTTCTAAAGCTGAGCGTGGTTATTCTGTAGCATGCAGTGAAATTTCAGTAGTTTCTATTGTTTGGCTTAGTCACTGTTTTATTGCGTTGCATTAGTTCTGAAACAGAAGTGATGGAAAACAGTACTGCTGGACTGAAGTACTTTTTTTCTGCTTAAGTGTAATACAAGCAAGTGTTACTGATTTGAAAATGTAAAATAAAAGATTTTTTAAAATTGACATTCTGGAGTACTTGGCCCTACTTATTTTATTGAACACAGTAAAAAAAATTACGTGTCCAGCAAAAATCTTTTATATATATGAGCTATGTCTTTCCATTTATATCTATAATTAATTCGCAAATGGCTCTGATGCAGATCTGATTTCCTACAGGTTTATTGAATACGGTGAATATAAAAACAACTACTACGGCACAAGCATAGACTCCGTTAGGTCTGTCCTGGCTAAAAACAAAGTTTGTTTGTTGGACGTTCAGCCTCACGTAAGTGAACAATGAACTATTCAATACCCTCCTGGCCCATGTGAGCTACCACACTTCATGTGAACCTTTCAAATATGCGGTAAATCTGAAGGCTACTCACTTTTGGTATATATGTGGCTTTCCTAATGACAGACGCATTTAAATGTAATTTGAGAAGTCTCTGGAGAAAGAGAAAAAAGGTCCATAATATTAGAAAAGAGGAGGAGAGGAAGCCACAAGATCTGTTTGCCACTCTGGTTTATATTCTGTGTTTGCCAAGTACAAGGACTCTTAGATATTTCTTTTGCATAGTTCTTATTGAAAAAATATGTTGCTACATGTATAATGTATTCTTAAATGTGAAGTATTATTATAAGTGTCTGTAGTTTTTACAATGGACATTTTGGTTCTTGGCCCTCTTTCTTTCATTTGGATTCTTGACATATCATAGAAGTGTAAACCCCCTACATAGAGCCGTGGGGCATTTCATAGGAACAGTACTGAATGAGATCCTTCTCACAACTGTCAGGTAAATCTTTGCTGGCACCCTGGGAACTCTTATGAACACTTTGGACCAAAGATACCAGTGGACGCAGCCATTCAATTCTTACTGAACCACATCCTCCAGCAGAGACCTAACCCATAGCATTTTCCTTATTACCCAAGGGGCCATAGATTCTCTCTCCACCGATGGGTGCACAACCTCCAAGAGCCAGAATGACTTGGAGAAGCCCTTCATTCCTCTTCAGGAGGATGAATCTGGAGTAAAAGAGCCCCAAGAATCAGTAGGGCAGCTGACTCCTTAACTTAGGCACCAGTGATGAGGAGGATACTCCTGATGGTACAGCATCCCCCTGCCGATGCCTTGGGTCTAGTCATATCCAGCTCCCTCGGTAGGGTTCCAACTATACATCCACAGAGCCTCACTAGCCCCCTGAATGTATATATCCTCCAGCCACACCCCTACCCCCCTACATAACCTCTCAGAGAGGTTTATGGTTTGTATTCACATTTTTGGGGAAGCCCTGACATACAGGTCAAGAGTCTCCCTCAACTCCCACACTCTTACCATTCCCCTTTGACTGGAGATGAGTCCTCAGAAGCACAGTGTCAATAATACAAAATATTTGGATGGGAGAATGTTGACAAGCTTCATGGAAAGCAGGAAGCTCGCCCTTTTTGTACACTCCATGGAATGACAAACAGGACAGAATGACAAACTCCTATGTGAGATCAGGAAGAGGCTTATGTGGGATGGTTGGATGACCTCCACGTACAGATAGTTATTTAACTCATAGCATCTTTTGAGCATTTGATTTCAAAATCAGTTTTATGATATTTTTATCTGCTTCTGTTCAATATTATGACATATTTCAAAACACTTTAAAAGGTTATATTCTCCATCTTTTCAGGGGTATTTATGACATTTAATTGTCAACAACGGATTGAACAATATATTGAAGAAGCTACTGGCCTTATTAGATAGTTTTAAGGAATTTTCTCCTTTGAAAGAAATTTTATTTTTATTGGAAAATTCACTCATGACATTATGAAGAAATATAAGAAAACTTATTTTCTTCCTTGCAGACAGTGAAGCATTTAAGGACCTTAGAATTTAAGCCCTACGTGATATTTATAAAGCCTCCATCAATAGAGCGCTTGAGGGAGACAAGAAAAAATGCAAAGATTATTTCAGGCAGAGATGACCAAGGTGCTGCAAAGCCTTTTACAGTAAGTACAATAAGGCTCAGTAGAGAGACATAAATGGTACTTGAAGTCATACATGCAGTAACTACTACCTTCAGAAAGACATGGTTGTATATGCTGTGATCCAAAAATCAATAAAATAACTGTATTTAGGTACATACAGTTTGAGTAATTGCACTGTAATGGCGTTTTGTGCTTCCATGAATAGATCTTCATATTATATTGATTGAAACATCCCAGTAATGAGTGAGTGAAATTCATGATTTTATCAGAGCAGTTTAGTTACAAGCAGATCTGAGAGATACCATTAGAAGTTATGACTTCTGAGAGCTTACAGTTCAAGAGGGTCATTTTCATTTGTGGTTGAAAGAATAAATACAGAACAGCATTTGATAAACCAGTTATGGAAATGTCTGCATCCATGCAAAGTGATATAATTGCCTGTTTAACCAAATTTTTTTTAATACTTCCTTTTGCAGGAAGAAGACTTTCAGGACATGATTAAATCTGCACAGATAATGGAAAATCAATATGGTCATCTTTTTGACAAAATTATAGTAAATGATGACCTCACTGTGGCATTCAATGAGCTAAAAACAACTTTTGACAAATTAGAGACAGAAGCCCACTGGGTCCCAGTGAGCTGGTTACATTCATAACTAAGGGAAATTCCCACGATCATCTTTTTTGTAGAGTGCATGATGAAATCAGTTACCATTCTGGTGGTAGGGTTTGGTTTTTTTGTTTTTTGTTTGTTTGTTTTTTAATCTAGATCACTGTTGTAGATGTGTAATCCTGCTTAAAACTGAATGTTGGTTTTGTTTGTATCTTTATCCAGCCTTATTTCAAACACAATATTTGACTATAGATCCAAAATCAAAATTTGCACAGTACTGTATTTTGAGCACAGCTTTGGACCTTCTGGTTGTCCTTAATATACAGCTATATCTCCAAGATGAGGTTGGACTTTTTAGAGAGAAACAGCTAGAGAATTGATACTGGAGTTCAGTGCTTTAGTGATCTGAGACAAAGCCTCTCCATCACGTTAACAGTTGAAGGTATTAACTTAGCAGCCTTGAGCCACTCCAGGCAAGCAGGACAGCTTTATAGATTCATCCAGGCCAACAGTAAGGCATCCTCTTACTGTTCTAAAAGCGCAACCTTTTTCTTACATATATATAATATAGTCAGAGTGTCTTTAAAAATTTTTCTTAAAGGAATTATGAAACATTTGCCTTAGTGGCCTTCATGTTATATCTTGAAAAGGCCTCGTAGGACTACATATCAGTGGCTCAGATATTTAATGAGAGAAGATAGACTTTTAAAAATGATTACGTATGTAACTAAAAGCCTATCTTTGTGGTATTAGTCTTTGTAAAGATGATGATATCTTGGGGCAAGTAATGACTACAAAGGACATTTTAATTTATAAATCCTGAGACAGGATTTCTGGAGTCACCATCCAGTAAGTTAAAAGAATGTGATTCCTATTCTAAAAGTGGATGTTTTACTGTTAATTGATAGTTAAAAGGTCATCATTTTTCACATGTGCAAATGATCATATATTTAAATCACGCTAAGATGTATTTTAGAAAACTTTTCATGTAATGTTAACATACCTCCTCTTCATCATCAAAATAATTCTTAACACTGGTCAGATACCATCTTAATCTTGCCATTTTTAAAGAATTTTAAGAAAGACTCTTGTAAATATTTAGATGGGCTTTCTTTTCTTTGTTACTACTGAACTTCAAACAAATCACATAGCTCAAGATATTAGAAATGTCCTAAGTTGTATAAGAGAACATGTCTTGCCATTCTTGCATGCAGTAAGACCCTGCCAATCAAAAATCATTGCATCTGTGACTTTCAAACAGAAAATATTTTTGTTGATTTGTAAAGAGTTTAGATGTCATGTTTAAAGAAAAATAGAATGTAGTGAAATTTTATATATTTATGAAATCTTTGAAAGGCATATTTTTTTTAATTATCAAATGGAGCTATTCATAAAATAAATTGTATGTCATAATTTAAAATAGTTTTATAAGTCAGGGTCAACATTCCATGTAAATATTTGACCTTTGTTCATACACAGATAGATCCACAAGTCTGTTATGTGCACTGCATATTTGGTAGCATTATCCACTGGATTTCCTTTAGACATGTCAAATTTCATATTAGAAACAGAGATAAAAACTACTGCAATGCCCTTGATACACACTCATACCAAAATAATCAGACTACATGTTACTTAACATGATCCAAACAGTGAGTTCTAAGTTTATAAACTCAATAGCAAGCAATTTAGTTTTTAAAAGACGGAGGAAGAGGGTTGCTAGACTGATACTAAAGCCATACTTTAAAGTTGTATGGCTGCTCTAAGAAAATAGAAGTCTTACGTGGAGAGTTTGGGTAGAATATACTCCGCTTTAAACACTGACAAAAATTTCCTATAAATCAAGACTTCCTGTATAAAGAGTACTGGGAAACATATAATCATCTAGGCAATTGTCTGAATAAGTTAGGCAGTCCAGATTCTTTACTGTGGCGGCAATGGGGTATTTAAAAATATAACTGTCCAAATCTTACTCCCTTTTCATACTAGAATTGAACAATGTTTGTTTTTAAATGAGAGGGGGCACCTTAGCAATTTGAGAAATCTTTGATTAGGTATATGGCTTTCCAAGTGACATTTACACGGCCATTTTGCTGTTTAGAGATTAGGTTAAAACCAAGGAAGGCAAGGAAGGTAGCGCCAAGGGCTCATTGCTAACTGTTGTAGAAGGCCCTGGACTCTGCGTCTGCACTGAGACCACCACCTCCTCCTCCTCCAGCAAGGAGATGCACATAGCCCCCTCCACTATACTAGTTTGGCCGGCTCCCAACAGTGTCAGCCACTATTTGAGAGAAGAGGAATGTTTATATTTTTGAGTCCATATATTTAAAATCCAAGATTGAGAAGGAAATTCTATATTCCTGTGATTACCAAATTAGAGTCAGTTAAACCATAAAAAGATGAAACTGTCATATTTTTTTCCCACTGTTTTACTCATAGAGATGTTCTTAAGGCTGACATTCCTGGTATCGTATTATGATTGAATGTATCTAAATCATAATAATTTAAAATTGACAAACATAATCTTCATAGATTTACAAAACTGTTATTAAAAGCTTCTTAAAGAATCTAGATTTCTATTATTTATTTTCTTTTCAACTAGTAAGGATTTCTATGTAAATGTAATGGAAAATCTTTTATCTTAATAAAGTATCTTCCAATTGCATGTATATTTTCTGCACCATTGTTTCTGCACTTGGGTATTTAGGATATTGTTTCCCATGGTAGAGCAAATTCTGGTTTCTACTCTGATGCCAGGTAGTTTATTTGAACTTGCCATCTCTAAAACTTCATATTTGTTTCAAATAATTTTTTGGTTTCAACAAAGTTGTTGAAGAGATGGAATTCATGAATCTTGCTCTGATACACACAGTACAGCTATTTAAAGATCTGGAGCACTAAAGGGGGGCAGGATGATCGGGCCCATCCGTGATGGGATCATCCCTTATCCCACTCCTCTGCATCAGGAATTAGGTTGTTATCCACATCCTGTTCCTGAATTCCAATTAGGCAAAACTAAACTTTTTCATTTAGCTGTACATGAGTACAAACTGCCACCTGCTTAGATACACAAGCTAATTAGCATTGCCCTTGCTTCAACAGTTGAGCGAATTAGCCCCAGCTCTGCTTCCATTGAAAGACTGTAGACTGTAGCAGTCAGGAGCATGGGATCTGGAGCCACATTTCCTGAGTTCAAATTCTAGTTTTGTCTCTTACCAGCTTTGCAACCTTGACACAGTCATTTAACCTCTCTGATCAGGCAAATGGACTTAATAATCCTGCTTACCTCATGGGATCATTGTAGGCCTGGAAGAGCTGACCCATGGAAAGTACTTGGAACAAAACCTGGGACAGAGGTATTCAAGAACTATGAACTCCTGTGTTACAGTGATTATTCTCACATCACACAATTTTAAAATAGCTCTATAAATAATCACCCCATATAAATAGTTCTCCGCCCGCAAATTCACTGGAAGTTTCCTAATAATTTCTATGACGGTTTTATTGTGTAAAAAAACATCCATTACTTCCAAGTGATATGTCAGAACCTAATGAAGTAATCCTCAATAGGGAAGTGAACAAATTTTTATTTTTAGCCACTGGTACACAATAGAACTTGTATCGACTTGAAAGAGATGTCCCTTAGTTGTATTAATGCCCTTTCTTCTGCTACCACACTTCCTTTCCAAATGCTTGCTCCCTTACTGGCTCCCCGAGGGCAGGAAGTAGTTTTTTTAATAACTGTCCTACAACATACCCCGACACAAGACCACCAACTGCCAACCAAACTGTACTTACTAATCATCAAACATCTATATGATTTCCATTCACTATCTCATTTAATCTTCATAGCTCCTTTACATGAAAGATAATATCTTCATGTGCTCCAACTGAGAAAAGTGAGAGGCAGGGCTTAAGCACCTTGCCCAAGGTGCCAAGATTGATGAAGACCTGGAATCGCAGCTTAGATCAGGTCTGTGTCTCTGCAACCACACTATTTTCCCAGCACTATGCTTCCTGGTGTTGCTATAACTTGAGCCAGACTTGGAAACTAGAGATTTGGTAATTTGTTGAGGTTGAGGGTTTACCCTTTTTTTTTTCACAGTCCATAATTTTCTCAAAATGCTGCTGCTTTAGTCAGATATAACTTGATGTACCTAGGCCTGTTAGAACAGGTTAATCCACAAAAAGTGGCTATTATCAGAAGCATACTTATATAGCATAATATGCAATTCTGTTTAGTATGCATGAGTCCTGGTCCTTAGTGATCAAGACAATTCCCACCTTGCAGGGATTAATCTGAGTTGGTGGTCTTGCTACCCAATTCCATGTAATGTCTGTCAGAGAAGCTGTGAATAAGAGTTGTTCCCCTACCCGGAGGGAGGGGCAAGATGGTGGAAGAGTAGGGTCCCCGAGTCACCTGTCCCCACCAAATTACCTAGATAACCTTCAAACCATCCTGAAAATCTACGGATTCCGCCTGAGATTTAAAGAGAGACCAGCTGGAATGCTACAGTGAGAAGAGTTCACGCTTCTATCAAGGTAGGAAGACGGGGAAAAAGAAATAAAGAAACAAAAGGCCTCCGAGGGGGAGGGGCCCCGCGAGGAGCCGGGCTGAGGCCGGGGCGAGTGTCCCCAGGACAGGAGAGCCCCGTCCCGGAGGAGCAGGAGCTGCACCAACCTTCCCGGGCGGGCGGAAAGGGGCTCGCAGGGAGTTGGAGCAGGACCCAGGAGGGCGGGGATGCCCTCGGGCTCCCGGGGACACTAACAGACACCTGCGCCCCGGGAGAGTGCGCCGAGCTCCCTAAGGGCTGCAGCGCCCGCTCGGCTGGACCCGGAGCAGCTCGGAGGGGCTCGGGAGCGGCTCCAGGGAGGGGGCTGCGGGGCGGGAGCGCGAATCCCACAGCGCAGGCCCCGGAGCACAGGGCGCCGGGACACAGCCCAGGATCCGGCCTCCCCCGGGACAGGCAGAGGCCGGGAGGGCCCAGGACAGCGAGGACGCTCCTGCCCCGAGCTGAGCAGATCAGCGGCCCCGCCCCGGAGCCTCCAGGCCCTGCAGACCCAGAGCTCTGGAGCTACTGCGGGAGCTGACTCCAGGGCTGCAGAGCTGGCCCCGCCACTGCGGTTGTTCCTCCTGTGGCCTCACGGGGTGAACACCCCCCACTGAGCCCTGCAGCAGGCAGGGGGCAGAGCAGCTCCCCCAAGTGCTAACACCTGAAAATCAGCACAACGGGCCCCCCCTCCAGAAGACCAGCTGGACGGACCAGTTCCAGGGGAAGTCAAGGGATGTAAAGTATACAGAATCAGAAGATACTCCCCTTGTTTTTTTGTTTCTTTTTTCTGTTTTGTATTGTTTTTTTTTTTTTTTGCTTTTTGATTTCTGTTTGCTTCCCCCCCCTTTTTTTTTCTTTTTCTCTTTTTCTCTTCTTTCTTTTTCTTCTTTTTTCTTTTTTTTCTTCCGTTTTTCTGTTTCTTTCCTTCTTTCTCTTCTTTATTTTTCTCCTTTTCCAAATACAACTAGTTTTTGGCCACTCTGCACTGAGCAAAATGACTAGAAGGAAAACCTCACCTCAAAAAAAAGAATCAGAAACAGTCCTCTCTCCCACAGAGTTACAAAATCTGGATTACAATTCAATGTCAGAAAGCCAATTCAGAAGCACTATTATACATACAGCTACTGGTGGATCTAGAAAAAAGCATAAAGGACTCACGAGACTTCATGACTGCAGAATTTAGATCCAATCAGGCAGAAATTAAAAATCAATTCAATGAGATGCAATCCAAACTAGAAGTCCTAACGACGAGGGTTAACGAGGTGGAAGAACGAGTGAGTGACATAGAAGACAAGTTGATGGCAAAGAGGGAAACTGAGGAAAAAAGAGACAAAAGATCACGAGGATAGATTAAGGGAAATAAGTGACAGCCTGAGGAATAAAAATCTACGTTTAATTGGGGTTCCCGAGGGGGCCGAAAGGGACAGAGGGCCAGAATATGTATTTGAACAAATCATAGCTGAAAACTTTCCTAATCTAGGAAGGGAAACAGGCATTCAGATCCAGGAAATAGATCCCCCCCTAAAATCAATAAAAACCGTTCAACACCTCGACATTTAATAGTGAAGCTTGCAAATTCCAAAGATAAAGAGACATATGGACCAGACATATGAGTCAGATGATACTCCCAACAATCAGACCAGTATGGCTTGTGAGCAAAACAGACAAAAAAGGGCAACCAAACAGGACCAGTTACTATTTTCCGTGTGTGTTCACAAGTGTTTGATTTTTTGAGTTGGCTGTGAGTATAAATTTAAAGAAAGCTAAGGAACACCAATGAAGTGGTGTTCCAAGCCACTTGGTGAACAAGCTAGGAAGGATGATGAAAGTATAAGGAAGGGTGAAGTGATCCAATAGGAAGCGCACTTCCACATCAGGTTTGAGACACCAGACCTCAGAGTGAAGGGACTTATGTCAGGTGGTCTGTAAAAACAAGACTAAGGTTTGGAAAGACGATGAATTAGATTAAAAAAAAAAATCTTTTCTGGGATGACCTGTTTGAGACAGAAACAAAACTTTCCAGCTTAACCCATTTCTGAAAGTCAGGCCGAACCTGACCCTTGAGTAAAACCAAGTTTGAACCTCTTGCAGAACCTTTTCCTCAACCAAGGGTGGAGGCAAAGCAGCAAGAGACAAGAAATCCCTGACTTTTATGGGGAGGAGTATTAGGGTAACAGCAGACCTCTCCACAGAGACCTGGCAGGCCAGAAAGGGCTGGCAGGATATATTCAGGGTCCTAAATGAGAAAAACATGCAACCAAGAATACTTTATCCAGCAAGGAATGTCCACTCTCACCACTGCTCTTCAACATAGTAATGGAAGTCCTAGCCTCAGCAATCAGACAACAAAAAGACATTAAAGGCATTCAAATTGGCAAAGAAGAAGTCAAACTCTCCCTCTTCGCCGATGACATGATACTCTACATAGAAAACCCAAAAGCCTCCACCCCAAGATTGCTAGAACTCATACAGCAATTTGGTAGCATCACAGGATACAAAATCAATGCCCAGAAAGTCAGTGGCATTTCTATACACTGACAATGAGACTGAAGAAAGAGAAATTAAGGAGTCAATCCCATTTACAATTGCACCCAAAAGCATAAGATACCTAGGAATATACCTAACCAAAGAGGTAAAGGATCTATACCCTAAAAACCATAGAACACTTCTGAAAGAAATTGAGGAAGACACAAAGAGATGGAAAAATATTCCATGCTCATGGATTGGCAGAATTAATATTGTGAAAATGTCAATGTTACCCAGGGCAATCTACACGTTTAATGCAATCCCTATCAAAATACCATGGACTTTCTTCAGAGAATTAGAACAAATTATTTTAAGATTTGTGTGGAATCAGAAAAGACCCCGAATAGCCAGGGGAATTTTAAAAAAGAAAACTATAGCTGGGGGCATCACAATGCCAGATTTCAGGTTGTACTACAAAGCTGTGGTCATCAAGACAGTGTGGTACTGGCACAAAAACAGACACATAGATCAATGGAACAGATTAGAGA